ATATTAATCCAATATAAATATATTGAATCTCAAGATATTTCTTTTTCCATCTTGCAACCTTTTTCTTATTAAAAAAGAAGAAGAAAAGAATATCAATGTTTCCTTCTTCTGACCATTTTGCTTGAGTGTTGCTATTATATTGTTCAAACACTCTTGCTGAAAAAAGTTGAAATTTGAAAGTTTGTAAATTTCTGGCACAGTAACTTTTTGCAAATTTTCAATTTTTGCTAATTCTTCTTCGATATAAGTTTTTCTTCTCTAGTTACATCTCTAAGTCGAATTGCTTGTAATTCTTCTTGAGATATATCTTAACTATCTGTATTAGTCATCATGAAGATTAGTTCTTCATCTGAACTTTCTTCATCGCTAGAAATTTCATACAAGATTTCTTCATCATCAGAAATTTCTTCGCTATCTATTGTTTTAAAGTCTTATTCTTCAAGAATTTTGATCATTTTCTTTGCACTTTTTTCCTTTTTTAGATATTCAGGTGTATAGTGACATTCTTCGTTATAAATGTAACATATACAAGTTTTTTTTTTCTTTTGAAACACTTATTGGTTTCTTTTTTCAAACATATTTTTTCTTTTTTGAAATTTTTTTATTATTTTTCCAAGGTTTCCATTTATATTTTCTATGTTTTTTACAAAATCCTTTTGCTTGGTAAATGTATTACAACCAATTTTTCAATTTTCTTTTAAAATTTTATCACAATATTTTTGACCATATTTTGAGTTGAAAATTTGATTTTTTATTTATTTTTTGGCCTTTGCTTCTAAACACCGATCTGCTATCAGTCTTAGAATATAATTAATGCGAAAACCAAGATTATCATATTCTGCCTTCCACATTTTTTGGAGAGAATCAGGATATGTTTTAATGCATAACTCATCCCATGGATTAGGGAGTTTATGAAAAAATTGATCTAACTAAGGTTGATTTGTTGGTACATTAATAAGATAATAATATTTTTTTAAAGTTTGAATAGTCTTCAAAAAGACAAATGTTACATAATTCTAATTTAGTCAAAATATAATTTGTATCTGCTTGCAAATTACTATTACCTGCAAAACCACATAAATTTTCTTTTATGATTTTTGCAAATTCAGCTAATATTGTGTCAAGTGTGAAAAAATTAACTAACAAAGTTTGTTTTTTTTATTTCTTCCAATTTCATATTTTTCACACTGTCTTAACCATTGCAAAACATCTCCCTAGAGAGTTGCTCCAGCATAATCAAGGAATTTTTCCTTTGCCCAACTATTTTTATAATTGGTAATAATGATGGACAATAATTGTGCCCAATCATCAATTGCTTATGGCTAGTCCTTAAATGGGAGATGAGACAAGTCTAAATAAAGTACCATTTTTAGGTATTAGATACTTATGATTGTTATCTTTTCTAGATATTATTGGCCCAGGTGTAGAATTAGAGGTACTTTTAGTGCTAATATCATCTTTAACTTCATTTGTTTGAATAAAGTCAAAATTTTCTCCATCTCTCCATGTGTCAAACAATTCAGGATCAATCAGCTCTTCTGTCTTTCTTTTTCCTTTATTTACTTCTAGGGAAACATCTTGATCTATTGTTTCTTCAGATGAAGATGATTGATTATCATCATCATTAGTTGACATATTAATATCATACTTAAAATGTTGTAAAAGAGCTTCTTGTTCTAGATAAATTTGTCTTATCTGCTCTAGTAGCCTATTTTTTCATCAATACCTAAATCTAGGTCTTTATATAATTTTCTCCAATAATCCAATATTTCAACAATATTTTCATATTCAGTCCTATTATCGGTATTTATTTCAAGCACCAGAATAACTTCTATACCATAATATTTTCAATAAGATAATAATATTTTTTTAAAGTTTGAACAATCTTCAAAAAGAAGAATATTAAATAATTCTAATTTAGTCAAAATATAATTTGCATCTGTATGCAAATTAGTATCGCCTGCAAAACCACATAAATTTTCTTTTATGATTTTTGCAAATTCAGCTAATATTGTGTCAAGTGTGAGAAAATTAGCTAACAAAGTTTTTTTTTTGATTTCTTCCAATTTCAGATTTTTCCCACTGTCTTAACCATTACAAAACATCTCCCTGGAGAGTTGTTGCAGCATAATGAAGGAATTTTTCCTTTGACCAATTATTTTTATAATTGGTAATAATGATGGACAATGATTGTACCCAATCATCAATTGTTTATGGCTAGTCCTTAAATGGGACATGAGACAAGTCTAAATAAGTATCATTTTGAGATATTGGATACTTATGATTGTTATCTTTTTTAGATATTATTGGCTTAGGTATGGGATTTAAGGTATTTCCGGTGTTAATATCATCTTTAACTTCATTTGTTTGAATAAATTTAAAATTTTCTCTATTTCCCTATATGTCTAACAATTCGGGATTAATCGGCTCTTCTTCCTTTCTTTTTCCTTTATTTACTTCTAGTGAAACATCTTGATCTATTGTTTCTTCAGATGAAGATAATTGATTATCATCATCATTAGTTGACATATTAATATCATAATTAAAATGTTGTAAAAGGATTTCATGTTCTAGATAACTTTCTCTTATCTGCTCTAGTAGCCTATTTTTTTCCTCAATACCTAAATCTGGGTCTCTATATACTTTTCTCCAATAATCTGATATTTCAATAATATTTTTATATTCAGTCCTATTATATGCATTGGTTTGAAGTACCAGAATTTCTTATGTACGATAAAATAGCATTGGAATTGAGTTATCTCTTGGACTACTTATTCCATCATTATTTATGAAAGATATAGTTTCTAATTAAGTTACCAAATTGTTTATTTAGGTTTTTGCTTCTTTGTTTAAGTCAATATTTATTATAGAACCTAAATTGTCTATTTTAGATTCTATAGACTCAACTTTGGATTCTAGATAATTTTGATTTATTTTTTGATTTTTATCTAATTTAAAAAACCAAGAGCACATAATATCGGTAATATTATTTAAACTATAACACACTATTTATATTTGCAGACTCTTTAATGATATGCAAACTCTGGTCATATTTATTATTAACATTATTTTTTGTATTTCCAAAGCATATTATATCTTCAGGATTAATTGCTATTATAGATTGTTGCTGGTACGTAAAACTCTCTAGTGTATCTGTCTAGTGCCTAAAACCTCTCTTTATGATTTTAAAATACTTTAAAATGTCCGATTTTGACTGATAGTCAAAGATCTTAATGAGTATATGAACTTTCACATACACTAAAGTATATAGCTTTTTCAACAACTATAAATTAAACAAATAATTATGAAGATATAAAATACAAAGGATACAAGGTTAATGACTATATTTGACTGATAATATTTTTCTGATTTTAAACACTTTTTTTTTTTAAAATCATTAACCACACAATACACTTATATATATATATATATATATATTAATACATACATAAAAATATTTACATAACTTAATCTTACTTTCAAAAACTCTTCACCAAGTTTTGATACAAATTACAAACTAAAAACGAAAAGAAATTTTTGCTATTTTTATTCTATTATTTTATGGAGTTAAGGAAAGAGAGAAATTAGAGAAGTTAGGAAACACAGAGATGATAAGAATTTACATTTTTTCATTAGGTTGGATTCAATGCCAATTTATAAAATACACCTTCATAAACAAACAAAACCAAAAAGTTATCCTAAATTTAATACCATACCTAATCTATTAAGCTTTACAAAAACTAATGCGTCCAAACTTTGCACAACTTTTTACAAAAGTCTTCAAGCCTAGTCATAGGCTTACACAAATAAATACAAAAACTTGTCAAAAGTCATAAATGCAAAACTAAAATTATATACATATCTTCTGACATACTACAATTATATATACTGTCCCTCCTTGTTGTTCAAAGAGATAGACTGAAATAGATAAGATTTGATTGATATTATTTGTTGTGTAGCGTCAGTTGAAAAGATTTATCTGACCACTTTTTGCCTAATGATGTAGGTTGCTTCATGTTTCCTAGATAAGTTGGAGTCGATCATGAGACAACTGCATGTGATAGTGTAATCCACTATACTTCCATCTTGTTTACGAGATTGTAATATTATTAATCAGCCTCTGATGGAGGGGAATCAGAATCCTAACTGTATTTGCTCATTTCGATATTGTTCTACATCATCCAAGGTCATGGCTAATTTCAAACGGAAGATCAAAATTATTTCTCTTTTTGAGGTTTAATAATATATCAAGAGCCTCATTAATTTGTTGAGGAGACTTTTGATATGTTATGAAAAAATGTGTTACAAATAATATTATACCATATGTGACCATAAATGGTAACTTTGATGAGCCATGGATATTAGAAGCAGCTTGTGAAACAGTTATTAGACTGTCTATCTAATATTCTGTTAAAGGAAGTTTTTGAATATTTTTCAATCACTCTCTCCAGCAATCTTCATCTAAATTGTCATATTCAAATTCGAAATCTTGTGTTCCTTTAAGATATCAAATTTGATATGGTTAGAAAAAATGTTTTATTTCTCGCCAACTGATTGTGTTGAAGATCCAAAAAGTAAATATTTACTCCATCAGAAGCCTTTTACTATCCATGAGAGCATTGTTTTTATGATCATTGGATACTCTATCGGATTGGATCTAAAATTTGAAAGTCTCTATCTTCAAAAAACCACATGTGCCATGGTGGTTATTTTGAAAATTCCATCTTGAAAATTTAATTTATCATATCCGATGAAATCTCTAGCACAATTGGTTGGCGAGAAAGATGACATTTTTTCCAACCATATCAAATTTGGTATTTTAAAGAAATAGAAGATTTCGAATTTGAAGATGACTATTTAGACGAAGATCGCCGGAGGAAGAGATTGAAAAATATTTAAAAACTTTATTTAACAAAATATTGAATAGACAGTCTAACAAATATTTCACAAGATGCTTCTAATATCCATGGCTCAGCAAAACTGTCATTCATGGTCACAGATAAAAGAATACTATTTGTAACACATTTTTCCCTAACATATCAAAGGTCTCCTAACAAAATAATGAGGCTCTTGACATGTTATTATACCGATTAGTAACATCATTACACTCTCATCTGTCCATCACATAACACATTTGGTATAAAGTTCAAAAAAATAAATTATAAATTATAAATAAATAATAACAGAAGAAGAAGAAGAAATCTGATGCACCAACATTGTATTCAAGCAATCAATATTTTCTTTTTCCTTTTCGAAGACCCATCAAGTAGAGTAGAAACTATGTAGAATCAATCAACATGCAAGAACTGCCCTTCAGGTTACCCTACAAACCTTAGCTTGTTAGAATATTAACTACATCTACAAAATATGATAGCAACTATTCAATACAAAAGTTTCTAAAGCCAGTTTTTAGATAAGTAAAGAGTTTATAGCCAACCCCTTGTATTTTAACAACCTCTCTCCAATGAACTTGGGGGGTCATGTGGGGGGGGGGGAGCTATAATACCTCAACTATAATACAAACTGCAGACCATCTTTTTTTAAGAGTCAGTACCGTATCATATTTCTCCACTTATCCTTCAAATCAACCTAAACAAAAGAAGCCCTTACGTTAACATAAAGAAAAATAATATTAAAGCAGAAAAAAGGCACAACCACAAAAAATTCTCACCTCGGTTCTCTCTTCAAATATGTCACGATATGAATTTAAGATGAGCTTCCAATTCCCTCTACCAAACCTTCAAAAGAAATAAATACAAATGAGTGAGGAGCTTTACATTATCCTAGAAAATATCATTGATTATTTAATTCTCTCAGTTGACATGAAAACAATAAAAAAAATAACGTCCAATTAGTACACATTAATTTGTGTTTGTAAGGGGAAAAAGTTGACATGAAAACAGTCCTCGAAGAAGAAGATGACAGAACTTTCTACCCCAATGGTTAACTCATATCCCTTAGGGTGGTAAAACTGGTACAGCATTTCAGGGTCAAACACATGCACATATAAAAAAGTGATGCTATACAATGTGGAATTACAAATATTTATTTCTTCTTTTTCTTTTAAAGAAATAAAATACAAAGAGAATACAATCTTTACCTAGGAAAAACATCTGACATAATTAAACTAATAGAACAATAAAAATATTAAGTTTATTTAATATTCACATAAAATTGAAATTCTAGAAAGGCCTACCCTAAACTAAATTTAAAAAATCACATACTTCTGCACGCCAGTTCTCAAAGTGTCTTCTTCCAGTGTACTCCATCTCTTAATTTTTCTCCTCCTTGCCAATTTCTTAATTTCATGCTTCTTCAAGGGAGAAACAACCATTCTCTTTGGGGTAGACAAGTGAAGTCTACTCCGAGAATCACCTGACTCTTCGGGTAAGTCGTCAACAGAATCATCCCACTGCAAAGACAAATTTTGGTTCATGATGCATTCGTAGATTTACAAGTGTACAATATTAAAGGGAAATTTTTACAATCTCTATCGTCATGATTCACGCATCTGGAATGCATATCCAAAGTCTTTGCTTTGTGCTAGAAAAATCAAATGTAAAATAGGCTTCAAGAGTTCTATGTTGATAATCAGCATTCAGTAAGTGTTTGGGAACCCTGTTTACCATTATTTAAATGTATAATAAATTTAGGTTATAAGAACAGCAAAACAAGAAATGATTACCTCATAAGTGTGGGCAGTACTATTCCGTGCCATTAAGCTGGGTTTAGGCACATTATTTTGATTCCTGCAACATTGACTGTCAAGATTACCCTCGTTGGCCGGAGCAGCTTCAGCACTCTTGCCAAGAAAGGGATTGGCCGCTTCTAAATCTAACCCATTCTGTCGTGCTGAAGTCTCCTGATTCATATTTTCTCTACCCATGCTAGATATTAAATTTTCAGCAAGATGTAAAGCATCAGGAAGAGGGTCTTTCACCACTGCCTGTAGCTCCAAAGAGCTAATTCTGAGTGCTTCTTGTACTTTATTAATTTCACGGGCAGGTAGGCAATCGTAGTTCTTAGATGATGTCCTTGTGTCCAATTCTTCTGTATCAGTAATCTTAACTACTCTAGAAGTCCCAGCAATCGCTCCTCGTTTATTAGCAACTTGTTTGCGCCTACGCAGCACAACGTCCCTCTGCATTTCTAAAATAATGAACAAGAATCCTTTGTTATACCATACAAATGCAAAACTCATTAGTTGATTGAGCGAAACAAAAAGGCATTAGTCATCTAATTGCACAAGGAGACCAACTAGGACTGTTCTATGAAAGAAAGCTAGTGGCTATAGCTTTGACATGACTGGCAGAAACATTTATGGGATAAAAAATAGAAAGCAAACCTGCTACAGGCAACATATTTATTTTATTTACTTCCCTGCAAAAATGTATATTTAACATGGCTTCATTTGGGAAGTGGGTTGGCTTTTTTGACTATTTTAGCCTGAGGTTAAAAAGCTTGGTTTGGGAAGGACTTTTGGCTTTTTTGACTTTTTGTGAGAGAAAGAATGTAATGATTAGTGTAATGATTATGAGTTAGATGTAATATTTTGTCTTATTGGGCTAAAAAGCCTATTTTGTTTTTTGTGACTATTTTAGTCAAGAAAGCCAGAAAACTCACTTTCCAAACATAGGCAAAGGAAAATGCAAATGCTGGTATATATGTAAAAAAAAAGTATTGGAATATGTGAAGTGTATAAAAAATATAAACGTGCATGGAAATATGTGAAATGTTGTATCTTTTCTGGTTTTATTTGCTTGCTTCTTATCTGATGCAGCTTGGATGTGATGTTTTGTTTGTTGTGGCTAAAATAGTCTGTTTTGTCTTTTGTGACTATTTTAGCCCCAACCCAACTTGCCAAACACCACCTTTGTCTTATTGGGCTAAAAAGCCTATTTTGTTTTTTGTGACTATTTTAGTCAAGAAAGCCACAAAACTCACTTTCCAAACATAGGCAAAGGAAAATGCAAATGCTGGTATATATGTAAAAAAAAAGTATTGGAATATGTGAGGTGTATAAAAAATATAAACGTGCATGGAAATATGTGAAATGTTGTATCTTTTCTGGTTTTATTTGCTTGCTTCTTATCTGATGCAGCATTTTGGTCATAAAATTATTAGACCAAACAGATAGACATCTGGCCAAACAAGGCAAAAGGCACTAGTAGGAATCAAACAGCATGTTCTCAGAATGGCCCGAAATTTGGTGGGTTGATGGAAAATGCCATTCTGATCAGGATCCATTGTTGTGCCACACGGATGGATTTTGGGCTAATTCCATCTTTTAGGTCGACAATTTCAAGACTTTTCCCTTTGAAAAGATTTGCAACTTCAATTACTCTCATAGAAGTCATAATCCGATTTCGTCAAATCTGCCATAGCAACCTAAATTTCTAGTTTCTTTATTTTATTTCAATATTTTTGTTTTTCTTAATCTTGTTGTGTTTCCTTATTTCTGTTTAGGTCATTAAGAAACTGTCAATTCTTGTTTTTTTTTTCCCTAGTCCGTTAGGGTTTCTTTTCATATAAATAATCACTGTAAGCCTTACCGCTAAATAGTTTTAGAGATCAAGTTCTTACTCTTCTCCCAACCTTGGCTATTCTTTTAACAATCAATCATTGTTGAGCCTTTATTCTTAGTATTCCTCGTGAATAAAGGAATCTAAAGAAAGATCTTTCGGAAGAAGAAAATAAACAAGGGAGGGAGGAAACATGTTCAAATATCCATATAAACAACTGAGTCTTGACGCTCAAAAAGCTCCAAGCATATATGGGTATATTCTTCAAATAGTTTACTCATAGTATTAGGCCTTATGAAATCAAAAGGGATAAATGCTACCGATTTTGAACGCTGATATCAACTAGTTCAGTTCAGACCCTCTTAACAAACATAATTAAAAACAAATCAAGGCCAACAAAGTTACCTTTATTGTCATTACGGACAATCGAATCGGGACATGAACCCAGCAAACTAGCTCCTCTTTCTCCAACTTGATCACATATTCGATCATTGCCCAATCCAATCACTTCCCTCATTGAATCATCATCACTCACTGTCCCAGCCACCAATTCAAGAAACGACGGGCCCATACTCTCCCACGCTTCCACAACATACAATCTAACCGCCTCCAACGCAGCATTCCCTCGCTTCTTCATTCGCACATTTTCACAAACACTTGCATCCCAAACCGCTGCTTCAATCTCATCTTTCCAACCCAGCAATTCATCCGAAACCAATCCAACCTTATCCAATCTCTTCATATTCCAAACCCTACCCTTCCATATCCTCCTCACGGCATCGAAATACTTCCCCTCCTTGTCCTCCTCACTCTCCTCAAGAAACCTCACAGAGCAATCCACCGCCACCGCGCAATACGCCGACTTCATCGCCTCCGAAGTTGTAAATCCCTCTTCGTGGTCTAACTCTTCAATGCGTTCCAAAAATTCGAGGACTTTCTCAGAAACAGAGCCGGTTGCGATCTCTGACTCGATTCTTCGCAGAAGCATTGCCTTATTCAAACTCGAATCGTCGTTCGAAAGAGGTAGGGCTTGAAGCACAGCGTTGAGTACACGATCGTCGATCGATTGACGGAGAAGAAATTCGAGAACCCAACGAGATAAATCGACGTCCATTGACAGACAGATAAAAAAATTTAAAATTTAAAATTTAAAAATTTAAAAAAAAAAAAAACGCTAATTTGTGAAAAGTGAAAAGTGGAATTGAGCTTCAAAAGCGTAGGTCTTGTAGTTAATCATATGGTATGGTATGTAATGTATGAATCAAAATCAACAGCAAGTTTTTCGATTATCACTCTTGACTATCCCAATTTGAAATCAATCGAAGGTCGTCTAGGAAAACTACACAGTCGAATTTGAATTTGGGACATAGAGCTCAACAGAGGACGATGTTTCAATCGTTGTATCGTAGCGTAAAACGGCATAAAAAATAAAGAACCAGAGAGCTCCCAAAAAACAAAAAAACAAAAAAACAAAAAACAAAAAAAAAAAAGAGAAAGGACCAGAACATTTGATTGCAGGTGTTGTCACATGACTAAATAAATTGGGTAAATATATATATATATATATATATACATATTAATTTAGTGTTGTAATGTGTACTTCAAAAAAAATATTTTAAAAAACACAAATGAGATTTTCATTATTGTTAGGAGTGTAAAAATAGTATGCGGTTTATGAGTGGCCCGAAATTCGTTCACGGTTCAGGATGGGCTCGGCTCGTTTAGACCCTCTAAGATCCAGGCCCGAGCCCCAGGGCCAAGGCCATCGTTTTGAAGTTCAGCCCGGCTCATCGGCCGACCCGATTGGTTTGGCGCATGGTCCAACTCATCGGCCAACTCAAGGCCTGTCCAAAAGTCCGGCCCGCTCGAGGCTCAGTGTTATTTTTAATAGAAAATAATAAAATTTTGATAGAAAAAATTTTTAAAAAAATTAAAAATTGTTTAGGCCCGCCTAAGCCCGCTCAAAGCTCGAGCCCAGACCCAAAACACGAATATCCCTGAGCTTTGGCCTAATTTTCTGGCCCATGGGTCGACCCGGCCCGACCCAATTTTTGGCGGGAACCAGCAAGGCCTGACATGGGCCGGGCCAAAATTACACCCCTACATTGGGGTTGTGGGTATCTCGAATTTATTTTCAGTTGTGTTTGTTTTGGTAGACAATAAATTTAATTTTTTTTATTTATAAAATATGTTTTTTTATTTATATTAATTATGTTCTTGAAACTAACACGAGGCCTCTTTTGGAAATGACTTATAAGTTAATTTATTGATTTTTTTATTTATTTGAATTATATTATCTCTCTATTTTTTATACGTCTTTTTATAATAAATAAAAAATTAA